AGGAAAGAAAGAAAGACCGCTTTTAAGTGAAAAAAATAAATGAACTCAGGAAGGTAGGTGTTGCAGTAGATCGAGCACTGGGCCTAGAATCAGGAAGACTTGAGTTCAGATTTAGCTTCAGACACTAGCTGTGTGACCCTGGGCAAGTCACTTCACCCTGTTTGCCTCAGTTTCCTCATCTGTAAAAAAAAAAAGCTAGGAAGAAAATGGCAAAATACTTCAATATCTTGACCAACAAAACCCCAAGTGGGGTCACAGAATATTACTCATTACTGAAATAACTGAACCACAACAAAGGGTCCAGAAGAAAATAAGGAGCCAGAAAATAAAAAAGGGTTGGAATGTAGAATCTTATTCTGTGGAAGGAACTAGGTTTTATAACTTCAAGGTCTTTCAGAAAGACGTTTTATAACTCATCTTGGGTGTGATGGTTGCTATGGAAACAACAGACTGTAAATCTAATCAATAACTTAGCTGGATACTGTGTAAAATGAAGTAGCAGAACAAATTTGTTGAAGCTTCACTTTAAAAAGAGTGAGCGTGTGTGTGTGTGTGTGTGTGTGTGTGTAATGAAAAAGAGTTTAGCTTCCTGTTTGGAGAAAAGATGATCAGGCAGATGCAGGGAAGGATTACAGCTCTAGCAAGGAGACTGAAATGTGTGGCTGACTTTTTTTTCTTTTACTCTGGATAGAGGGGAGGGGTAGCTAAGTGGCACGATGGAGACAGTACTGGACTTGGAATCAGGAAGACTCATCTTCATGAGTTAAATATGGTCTCAGACACTTACTAGCTGTGTGACCCTGGACAAGTCACTTAACCCTGTTTGCCTCAGTTTCCTCATCTATAAAATGAGCTGGAGAAGGAAATGGCAAACCACTCCAGTATCTTTGCCAAGAAAACCCCAAATGGGGTCAGAAAGAGTCAGACACAACTGAAATGACTCAACAACAACAAAATGAATAGAGAAGCACAAAAAGGTAAAAGCAGAGGATCCACAGGAAATAGCAAAGTCATTTGTTAATTGGCAAACTAGATAAACAGACCATTAGTGGCTATAATGGAAAGAATCATAATAATAGTTGACAGTAATTTAGTGTTTAGGTTTTTAGCACTTTGTAGCCATTCTCTTTGCTCTCACAACTCTGTAAGGTAAGTGTTTCAGACTTGGGTCATAAAGGCTTGAGTTTGAATACTGACATCTGAAAAGCACTAGCTGTGTGACTTTGGATAAGTCATTTAGACCTCTCAGCCTCAGTTTCCTCATCTGCAAAGTGAGGATAATAATAGTGCCTACCTGGCAGAGTGTTTATAAGGATCAAGGGAGATAAAGTAGAGGCTTGTACAAAGTCACACAGGATTTTAAACTCAAACCAGAACTCTATTTACTTTTCCACTCTGCCTCCCTCAGAGAAGGTATGACTAACAATCAGGGAAAGATAGAGAGATTTCTGGGGCCAAATTGTCCTGAATTCTCAGAGCAGGTACAGAGAGAACTGTAAGGGATATTTAGGGTGAATTTGTTACAATCAAGGAGAAATCAAGAGTCAGAGTAGAAAATGTTTGAGCATAGCTAAGGATTAATGAGAACGATACCAAATTGTAATAGGGAGTTTATTTAAAAAAATAAAAAAACCCACATAATTAGAGCAAGATTTAAAGAAAATGTTTGATTATTAATGAGGTCTATGGAATCATTAACCAGTATCACTAAGGGATTCTGTTATTTAACAAAAAGCCTAATTAAGTAGGCAATTTTGCTTAGTCTTTTTTCCCCCAATTAATTCTGTCTATGGGAAATTTAGAGCTGGGGATTCTAAGACTAACTATATAAACTACCATTTGCCTCATGGCAGCATATTCTAAGAGAATTCATAATATGGAAGAGGACGTGAATTCCTACTTTGTAAATCTAAACCCATAAGCGAATATAATGTAAGAGTAGCAAGAATTTTTTTGGTGGTTATTGGTCTCCTTTGGGGGTCATGTATTTTCCTAATATATTATGCATATAATTAAGGTTAAAAACTTCTTGAAAAGTTTTGAAGGGATTCAAAGCTTCCCTTACCTAGAAGCTTTTTCTTCTTTTTACTTATCCAAAGCCTGTCCATCCTTCAAGACTGAATTCAAATCTCATCTCCTCCATGAAGCCTTCTCTAATTACTCCCATGACCTGTACTTTGTCTAAATATCAATGCAGTTCACAATCTAATGGAGGAGAGAAGCTTACAGATATGTACAGTTATCCCTTCCACATTTCGGGGGTTAGGAGTGCAGTTCCCTCCCCCTCGATCTGGAAAATCTGAGTAAAAATTTGTGGTCCTCCCTTTATATCAGAGAAGTCTGAATTTTTCTCTTTTTCTTTTATGGGGTGTTTACAGTGCCTTATTGTAAAATTTGGGTTAACTATTTGGTCATAGGCTATATGCATATCAATGTAAAAATACTGTATGAAATAGAAGTTTAAAAATGAAACTTTAACTTTTTAGTTATTTTAGCTTTAAAAAAGAAATTGGGTATGTTTATTATATTAAAGATAAAATATGTTGATGTTATACAATACTGTGCCTATATTTTATCCATTTCTGACTTTCTAAACTTTTTCTGTGTCATCTGTTGGCCTTCAAGTGTTGTCTGCAGCTTCCACAAAACTGCCTCAAAATTCTCATTTAATCATGCAATCATGGGGAGGTTGGTGAAATTTTCTTGATGTTAAAAAAGAATCGTCACGTTAAAACAGTCAAGTACTACTGATGTAAGGCTATGTCATAGAATCAACAATATTTCATGACTTTGGGGGTGCTAGTCCTTAGTTCTGGCCAGTGATACATCGAAACTGTAATGGAGAAAGTCATGATGTATAAGAGATAACTTGTACAGACAAGCTATATTCAGGATAAATGGGAAATAAATAAGAGAGGGAAGGCGTTGAATTAAGGGGAGTTGGGAAGGGCTTCCTGTAGAAGATGGAATTTTAGTTGGGATTTAAAGGGATCCAAGGAAACAGTAGGTAGAGATAAGAAGGGAGAGTACTCTAGCCATGGGAGTCAGCCAGAGAAAATTCCCAGAGCCAAAAGATGGGAGTGTCTTGTTTGTAAGACAACTCAAATGACATTGTTACTGGATGCAAGAGTCTGTGGTGGGGAGTAAGGTATAAGAGGACTGGCAAGGTAAAAGGAGACAAGGTCATGAAAGGCTTAAATGTCAAAACAGGATTTTGTATTTGATCCTGGAGGAAATAGGGAGCCATTGGAGTTTATTGAGTAGGGATGACATAGTTGTGCCTGTGCTTTAGGAAAATCACTTTGATGGCTGACTGGAGGATGTATTGGAGTGAGGAGAAACTTGAGGCAGGCAGACCCACCAGCAGGCTATTTGCAATAATCAAGGCGCGAGGTGAGGAGGGCCTTCACTAGAATGGTGCCAGTGACCAAAGAGAGAAAGGGCCATTTTTAAAAGATGTTGTAAAGGTGAAATCAACAGGCCTTGGCAAGAGCTTGGATATAGGGGCTAAGCGATGGTGAGGAATCCAGGATGACTTCTAGGTTGTGAGCCTGATGGATAGCATTGCCTTCTGTAGTAATAGGTAAGGTAGGAAGTGGGAGAGTTTAAGGGGAAAGATAATGGGTTCTGTTTTGGACATATTGAGTTTAAGATGTCTCTTGGACATCCAATTCAAGATATCTGAAATGAAGTTGGAGATGTGAGATCAGAGATCAACAGAGAGACTGGGGCAGGAGAGGTAGATTTAAGAACCTCTTTGCTTTATCAGTAAGTCCACCAATAAGCATTTATTAAATATCTATTGTGTGACAAGCATTGGGGATATAAAGACAGAAGTGAAATGTTCCTTGCTTTTAAAGAGCTTAGATTCTATCAAGAAAGACAAGGTGCACATACATAATCATATACGGAGTGAACACAAAATAAATGAAGTAATTTAGGGGATGGGGCACTAGCAGCTGAGGGGATCAAAAAAGACTAAAGGAGGCACTTTTATGTAAGAAAATACTATTTATGTAAGGTAGTTGAGTTGTTGCCAGTATGGGCTGAGTTGCTGCTAAGGGTCCTCAAATCCATATGTAAACTAAACATTGTCATTTCGTTATTTTGATCTTTATTTAGCTCTAACAAAATATGCAGTGTGACTCCAGATAATAAATAAGGAAACACACCTTCTGCAGACTGAATAAATAATATGTCTCATGCATATATGTATGACTAATTTTAAAATGTATGTGGATGCTGTTATGATTAGGAAAATACAAATTCCTTTAAAAGCGTTCTTGAATTCAGAGTCAAATTTGTCCTGGGGTATTTTCTCAAATAATAGATACTTGTTAATAAACTGCAATCATGGGGAGGCTGGTGAAATTTTCTTGATGTTAAAAAAGAATCCTCATGTTAAAACAGTTGAGTACTACTGATGTAAGGCTATGTCATATAATCAACAATATTTCATGGCTTTGGGGGTGCTAGTCCTTAGTTCTTTTTCACAGGAGAGAATTTTTTTATAGGATGAAAAACTATGGTAAAGGATTTGTGCAAAGTCACATTCATTGGTACAATGGAGCCTGGTACCCAAATTTCTGATTTGCACACCAAAATATTTTGCCTTCATTGCCTTCATTTTTGGAATGATGATGCTTTTAAAATTTTAACCAAGCCAGACTAATCCAATAAATATTAATTAAATGCTTGCTAGGTACTGGGGTTTCAAAAGCAAAAAATGAAATAGCCCTTACCCTGAAGAATCTTGTGTTCTGCATAGCAAATTATACTTAACTCTGTACATTAAAAATTGTGATGCTCTTTTAAGCAGTGCTTAAAATTCATTGTAAAATAATGGATCATAATTTTATCAGGGGATAATTGAGCCCTGGGCTGCTTTTACTGTCTATGCTATAAAGCAAAAAGCCAAAACATTGTTTTAATAAGTTATAAAATATTAGGTACTATGTCCTGTCTCCTTAGATATCTGTGTTTCCCTTTCTCCTAAACAGGGCAGCACTCTGAGAAAACGGAAGATGTATGAGGAATTCCTGAGCAAAGTCTCCATCTTGGGTCAGTTGCCTTTTTTATTCCTGTCTCTGTCATGCATGGTCACTTGAGTTATTAGATGACCAAATCACTCCTTGTATCTTCTATCTGGCTGCCATTTTGTTCACTTGATTCTGTCTGGAAAGAAATTTCAAAAGATTATTTTATTATGAGTCTGGGTGTAAAAATTGTCTTGTAAATGGCACAGGATTTTACCCCCAATAGTTTCTGATTTTCTCTGATAGTGTTTCAATTTTCATTGTTCTCGATTTGCACTCTCATATCCATCATTTCTTTCTTTCCTGTGACATAGTGAAAAGATCACTGGATGGACAGTCAGAGGATGTAGGTTCAAATCCTTTCTCTGCCACTTACTACCTATGTAACCTTGGAAAGTCACATATTCTCTGAGCCTCAGTTTCCTTAATTGTAAAACTGGACTAGATGACTTCTCAGGCCCCTAACATCTGTGCTTCTGTGATCCTTTCCATATAGTGTTGTCTAGCGATTACAATGTTAGCTAAGTATACTTCAGTATGTTAGTGTTAATGATCTAACATAGTTGACACCTTTCTGTGTATCCATTTTATCTCCAGAGGTGTCAAAAATTTTTGGTTATGAGAGTTTGTGGGGAAGAATGAAGCCACACTCCAAATGTGAGTACATTGTTGCTAACTAAATCAGAGGTAACAAACTCACAAGAGGCCAGATAAACCTGGAACCAGATTAAATGGGAACCAGGTAAATGGGAAATGTTTTAAAAAAATAAAAATACACAACATAGATAATGTTAATTTGTCGTTTTCTGAATCATTGTATTTCAGTTTCTTTCAATTTGAGTTTGACCCCACTGGTCTAGATGATCTGCAAAAAGGCTTCCAATTTTAAAATTCCAAGTAAAAATCCTGCAAATTGGAAACCCAGCCTACCGTATTCATCCTGCATTTCTGCAATAAGCATGTCTTGTACAACCAATCCATTTCCTTGTCTCTGTTGTCTTTCCAGTGTCCTATCTGTTTTTGAGACATTCCTTAGACCAAAAGTGAATTTTTCCTCTTACTTTAACCGTAAATTTTTCCATCTTGATTAACTGAGCCTTTGTCATAGCAAATTGCTTTGTAGTAAAAGGCTTTTAGAAAGGTGGCTAAATGTAGCAATTAGAAAATATTGTTTTCCACTTCCTAGGTTCTTCCAAGTGAAATGGGAGAGCCTCCTTCTAAGAGTCATATGATTTGAGAGTCATAGATCTAAATCTGGAAGAGACCTTAGAAGTCATCTACTCCAACCCCTTCATTTTACAAATGAGAAAACTGTGGCCCAGATGGGTTAAATGATTTAAAGTCACAGTACTGGAATTTGACCAGGCACTCTTGACTCCAAGGTCCAAGACCCTTCCCACTGTGCCAACTGCCTAGTGTCACCCTCTCTGAATAATTATGCAATAAACTAGGGAATACCCAAGTCCCAAATGGGCAGAGGCGCCCCCCCCCGGATTCCTTTTTAAAGTCTTTTAGCTTTTATACTCCTGTTAGACTTTCTTAAAATATCTGTTCAACATCATGTCTTGGGATTTTGTTTTTTCTTTGATTAATGTGATAGTCACGACATATGGACATGTCCCTGATATCCTTTAGTAGGAAAAACAACAAACTCCTAATCCTTCCTTGATCAATCACCTTTGAGAGCACAAAAGCCCGACCATTAAGTGAATGGCGTTGGACAACGGAAGGAAAGGGTCTCCTATGTAGGGAGCATTCTGATCATATTTCAGTTGGCAGATCTCCCCCTCAGACTATATGCTCAAGGTCTACTCTAAAATGCTTAATTTTATACACTTGGCTTTGAAAGTTTTGGTAGCACATTCATGAAAAGAAAATTTGCTTTTTTGTTGTTGTTGCAAAGATTAATCCCTGTCCCTGACAAGAGAAGGAACCTGGAAAAGTAATTGAACTTCTGGCTGTCCTTCTTTGGGAAATGAGCAATTAACGTGAATTGTGAATGTGCCGAATTTCATATTAAAATAATGATTTAGCAATGTTTAGTTTCAAGCCAAATATAAGTGCTTTTCCCCTCCCCTCCCCTTCCCCTTGGCTTCCTTTAAATTTGAACACGACTTGCCTTCCAGAACTCAGAATGCCAATTAGGCCCAATTATGCCAAGGAACTTTCCTAAACTAAGCTGCACCTGCCTTTATTATATGTCACCTCATTGCTGAAATGTTGAAAATGTATTTTTTTTTAAAAATTCATTAAAAACTGAACTTTCTTCAGCCTAAGATTGTTGGCTGTGGTTTAGTGCTGAGATTCCTAAATATAGCAGATTGTCAGCCTTTTGGACACTGGTTATTTGGAGGTGTCCTTCTGAATTTAGTTGAAAATGCAAAAAAATACACCACCTGACAGCTCTGCATTTAAAGAATGGCTTCAGATTCATTTGACATTTGAGAAATTCAGGTGAATGAACGTGATGAGACCCTCTTCCTGAATTTCATTACACCAGCTCTGTGATACAAAGATTTATTTGGGAAGTGATAAAGCTCTCTGGTTCCACATTTGCTTTCTACCCAACTTTTCTATGGCAATTGAGACCTGTTACTTCTGACATTGAAAAATAAACATTACAACTGTGAAGTTACTTGGTTCTTTACAAACATAGAAAGGGGTATTTAATTTTAAGGGTAAATAAGACATTTTTGCACCAAAATACCAGATTTGTTCATTTTCTCTTAAGTCTTTTCCCCCAAAGCACAGACTGTAGTTTGCAATTAAATAATTCAAGTGTCTTTTCAATGAGCATCTTTCTCAAGGTGTTCTTGCATAATTTTGGAATGATTGAGTACTTCAGCATTCAGAATTACTGAGTACTGTTTGTACACAACAGAAGCAAATGGTTAAGTAGCTTCCCCCTCCCCCCCATTTAAAAAAATAATCTTGATTGAAATGACATTGCTCATTTGCACAACAACTACAAAATTGTTTAGGTTCTTGAATAGAAACCAGCTGTTCATCTTTTCCTTGTATGCACCATGGTATGTTTTTTGAAAGCTCTTTACCAGCTCTCAATATTGCAAGAAGAGATTCTCCCATTAACCCAATTCTAAATACATTGCTTTACCTTTTATTTTTAGCAGCTGCCCTAAATAAGTAACATCAGATAAGTACAGGCCAGAGTTGAATAAAAATTTCTTTGCCCCCAAAGGGAAACTGGATGGTTAATCAAGGATTTATTCTTTTCTTATAAAAGAGAAGATTATGTTTATTCCATGGAGGGGGGGTAGGGGTAGGGATGATGGTGGAGGAGGAGGGACTTTGGGGAGAGGTAGTTTGTTGAGAAGGGGGAGAAGTAATCCTGAATTTTTTAAAAGCATTGCTGGAAAATTAAAATTAGCGCAACAATTGTTTTGACCTTAAAGGGTTATAAAGTATAGATAGTATTCAGAAAGGCAGCCTGGGCAACCTTGAATTCAGGAAGGTCTGAGTTCAAAATCTGCCTCTAGCACATATTAGTTGTATAACTGCAGGCAAGTCACTTAAACCTAACTCTCTAAGTTTATAAGTTACAGATGAGTTAGTTGTCCATCTCAATTGGTGGAGGGAATTTCTACACTAAAAGTAGTATATATACACTGTTAACAGAAGTAAAATTACATATTCTGTGATGGTTAGTGACATTTTTTGATGGATAGTTGCTTCAATAGTAGAATCAAATGAATTCAACAGCTACAGTACTTGGATGTAATTTCATTGCATGTAGATGTTTATGCTGACCTTTTCTGTTGAAGATAAGGAAAGTAACATTTTTTTCTAAACAGATTTGCTGTTCCACAGACTCCATCTTCATTTTTAATATCTGTGTTAAGTTGATTTCATTCTTGAAAATAGTTGCCTACTTTTAAACCATATCTACGTGCTAAAGTTATAATCCTTTGCTTCAAGCATCCAAGTTAATGAAAAAATATCTGGGCCTTAACAGTACAAAAGAATTGGAAAATTCACTTTTTTTGACTTTTGCGTCCTTGAGCTTTATTCATTTTTTCCTCCCTGCAAAGATTAATCATTGCAGAGCTAATGTTCTTCATGTTTTCCGAGAATGTTCTGAGAAAAAAAAAGGCAGGGAAAAAAAGCCTGCCTTTGAGTTTTGCAACTGCTAAAAGTTATAAAAGAAGCATTTTGCCATTATCCCTAGTGACTGAATTCCATAGCAAATCAGACATTTCCATCATGAAAGTTTTATTGTCTCTAAATCTTCAGAATCACTGGATAAGTGGGAACGACTGACAGTGGCTGATGCATTGGAACCTGTCCAGTTTGAAGATGGAGAAAAAATTGTGGTTCAGGGACAACCAGGGGATGACTTTTTCATCATTACTGAGGTGAGTCCTGTGCTTGATGGTTGCATTTAGGTGTTGTTCTTACAAGCAATATGATGATGAAACAAATCTTTTTATATATTCTTCCCATGGACCTGATGTGGAAGGGAGGATGGGCAGTTATGGATAGATTCAAATCAAAATAAAGAGGCAGTTGGGTGACATAGTGAATAGAGCAGCGGCCTTGGAGTCAGGAGGACCTGAATTCAAATCTGGCCTCAGACACTTACTAGTTCTGTGACCCTGGGCAAGTCACCTAACCCCAGTTTCTCCCTCCAAAAATCAAAATGATAGGGAAAGAGACAGATACAGATAGAGGAGAGAGAGAGAGAGAGAGAGAGAGAGAGAGAGAGAGAGAGAGAGAGAGAGAGAGAGAGAGAGAGAGAGAGATGCAGAGAGTGAAAGGGAGACAGAGAGACAGAAGAGAGAAAGAGTGAGAGACAGAGAGCTACAGAGAGAAGAGAGAAAGAAGAGTAGAGAGATAAGACAGAGAGAGAGAAGAAGAAGAAGAGGAGGAGAGACAGAGAGCTGGATAGAGAAGAGAAAAGAGAAAGAAGAGAGAAAAGAGGAGAAACAGAGAAAAACAGAGAAAGAGGAGAATGAGGAGAGAAAGAGAGAGAGAAAAAAGAGGAGCAGAGAGACACACACATTGAAAGAGAACATTTATTAAGCACTTACTGTGTGCCAGACACTATGCTAAACATTGGGGATGCCAATACAAGCAAACAAGATATACAGTCAAAGAGTTTGTATTCTGAAGGGGAAACAGAGTAAGGGGAATTGGAAATCAGATAGTGGGAGGGAAGGTGGTTGAGGAAGAAAAGAAGTTTTGTTGAGAGTCAAGTCCTGAGTGAAGTAAGAGGGTCCTGGGGCCCCTCTTAAGATAGTAGCCTCACCATTTATTCACTAATCAAAAGAGTGGGGCTGCTGGGCAGAATTTTATTCAGGATAGGAAGGTGATATTGAAGAGGAGAAGGAAGAGCTACACTAAACTTTGGATATTTTACCAATTTTCATAATTATATGGTATCTAAAATATGTTAATATTCCTGTAGTTCTTATTTTCTACATTTTTTAAAGATTAAAAACAGCCTTATTTTCACATTGTACCTTTGGCCTTAAGCAGTCCTAAAACTTTTTTCTCCTTCAGATGAAAGGGAGTATAAGTTGTACATAATTATAAAACTTTCCCAACTTCTTCCATTGAAATCCTTTCACTTCTGGTGAAACATACTAAATAGTAGCACCAAGCAGTGTAAAAGAAAATCACATTATATAAATTTATCAACATTGATCAATTTGGAAGCATTTTTCTTATGCATAGATAGTTGTGGTTATGTCACTCCTTTGCTCAAAAATCTTCCAGGGTTTCATATTGCCTACAGAGTTAAAAATCAAACTCTTTAGTCTGGCATTCAAAGCCTTCCACATCTGGCATTACTCTAGCTTTCCTACTATACTGTGATATACGTTAGCCAAACTGAACTACTCTTTCATCTCCAATAACACCTCCTGTACTTTTTTTTCATCCTCCATGCCTTTGCTCGCAATGGCTTCCTTTTCATCTGATAAATCCCTACTCATCCTTTAAAGACTAACTTAAATGTTGCCCCATGTATGAAGTCTTATGAGCTTCTTCTTCCCATAGCATTTTAATCCAAAGATTTTTCCTAATCAGCAGCTCCCCTTCTTATGTTGGTTGCATTGATTTTGTTCATATAAAAGCCTTTCAATTTCAGGGACTCATTTATTTATTTTCTTTTTGGGTGATTGTCTCTATCCTTTGTTTGGTTAAAAATTGTTCTTTTAAGATACAGCTGTGAAAGGTACCTGGCCTGGTTCTGTATCATGTTATGTTTTACTTTATATCTCTCTAAAGTACTTCTATTATATTGTACATAATCTGTAATTTTCATATGGGCAAGAACTGTCTTATCCAGATTTTATAGCTTCCTCAGTTTAGCATAGTACTGTGTACACAGTAGGCACTTTGAAAATGATGGTTCAGTATCAAATGGACGAAAATATAGAAATCAGTAACCCTAATGTGAGATCTGGCTGAAATAACCAAATTCAGCACCACGTTCTTAGAGTAGAAAGAAAAAAGACTGAGGTCTCTGAGGAACCCAGTATATGTAACCTTTTGTGTTTCATTTGAAAACGTTGTCTAGAAGGTACTATTATATGTGCGTGTTTGTATATGTTTATGCATTTTATGAATCATGAAATTCCACTAATCCAAAAAAAATCTTTTTTGTTTTATATTTCCTCTTGGATGCTAAGGTATACCACTATGGGGAGATTTAAGTTTTCTCACCTTTTTCTTCCATTACTCTCCCTCTAGTTGATGGTGTTAATGAGGAGTGAAATACCTAAAAGGATGAAAGGAAGGAGAAGGGAAAAAGGGGCAGTGGGTTTGGATAATCCCCAAACTAGATCATTAGCCCCTGAATAATCAAGGGCCAACTGCAAATGTTTGTATTGCCTGGCTAGAGATATGCAGACATTTTGAAATGGCTCTTTTATGGAATAGAATTTTCTGGGAGTGAGAAGAAGGTGAGGATGTATGGAGGGTACATTAACTTAAACCCACCAGAAGAATGATAAATAGCTGCTTAAAAAAATAAAAGGTTAAAGGAATCCTGGGAGGAGGAAAACAAGGGAAAAAAGTTGGAGAAGGGAGGTGAGATAAGAGGGAAGATTTCACAAGTGTTCATTAAACACCTACAAGGTGCTTGGTAATGGAGCTGCAAGGATTAAAATATTGTGTATTCCTGTCCACAGGAAGTTTAAATTTTACTAGGTGGGTAGAGGGGCAAATACAGCATGAAAAATCTTGAGAAATATTGTACATTCCTAGGCTTGGACATTCATTTAACACAAATAAGTTTAAAATTATTATTATTTTGGTAGGGGAATGTGGTCTAGGAGAGGAAGAAGAAAGGGAAAAAAAATCAGCTTAGGAATATTACAATTCTGGTCAGAATTGTATATGTCTAAAATGGAAAACTTGTTCCTTTCTTCTGGGTGAGAAGTAAGAATTGGAGAAGAAAAATATTTGTTTTGTTTATTCTCACCTTGATTCAGTAAGGACGTGAAATGAGTTAACTCAGAAAGCTGATGCCTTGAATTTCCTCCAAAAATATAATAATCCATTCTGTGGACAGACTATGGTAAAGGCAGGGTTTTCATAATTGCCACTTAGGGAGAAGGCCATGATTTAACTTTGAATATTTCTGAAGCTTTTATTCTAGAGTTTTAAGGGACTTGTATTTTTATCTCGCAAAATATTTTTATAAAGCTAGAAAACAGTCTCTTGAAGGGTGTGTCTACAAAGCCATTTGAAGACATTTCCCAAGGAAACCATTTTCTTTGCCCTTTAGCCACTGCATAGCATTGATTCCTTTCTTCAGATGGTAGATGTAGCGAAATCATAGACACTACCACAAAATGGTATGTCAGAGCACATTTCTCCATATTTCTTTTTGCATATTCTCATTCTACCTTGTGGTGTAGTTATTTGTATATTATCTCCCCCATTAGGCTATAAATTCTGGGAGAACAGACTGTCATTTATATGTCATATTATTCTTTATGTCCTCTATGGCTCCTAGTATAGTTTCTTGCATATAGTAGGTATTCAGTACCAAAAATTTGGGGGATGCAGCCAAAGCAGTCCTTAGGGGAATATTTCTATCACTAAACACTTTCATCAACAAAAGAGAAAGAACAGCTTAATGAATTGTGCAGACAACTAAATTAAAAACTAGAAAAACCAACAAATTTCTAGGTGTTTGGTAAATTCCATTCAATTCAGTGAGCATTTATTAAGCACTTACTGTCTACAGGGCACTAGATGCAGAGTGGCATAGTGGATAGACTACCAGCCTTGGTATCAGGAAGACCTATGTTTGGGTCCCACTTCTGATAGATATAGACTGGGTGACCCTCCACAAGTCACAATCTCTCAGTGTCCCAGGTAACTTTCTAAGTGTATCAATTTCAGAATAAGTGATAACCTGCCCTGGTAGAGAGTGTTCTACCTGGGAGTTCCAGATAGATAAGTAGCTAGCTAGATATATACATACACATATAAATACATAAACATATAGATATATACACATAGATAGCTATAGTAACTTTAGTCACTTAGGTATCATCATTTATTATTTATCACCTTCATCTATTTGTTATCAATGCTCTTTTATGTACCTAGATAACGTGGTGTATTGGAAAGGATAAGACAATCCTGATTATTGTGTAGGCTTTGCTGCCTGTGTTCTGTGTGACTTTGGACAGGTTATGTCTCCCTGAATCCCAGCATTCTTTCTTGAAAAATGAGGATAATAATACTTGCTTTTCTTATATCAATCAGGTATTAGTAATAGTTTTGGCTGATCAAGCCTGAATTGGCAAAGCAAATTTGAAAAACACAGGCTCCAGCAATCTTTGGGCAATCACTTTTTAAAAAATTTCTGGTACTCTACATATTCCTCCCAATTATATTATATTTCCTTTGGCTCTTTGACTAGAACCTTGTAAACTGAGGGTACTTCTCACTCCACCCCCAAACTGAGTCTTAAAGAAGTACTCGGGCTTCAGATCAGTACCATTCCAACTTGGCTCTTCTCTTTTTCACTTTCTTTCCCCATCATTTCTGCTGGAAGTGAACTTCTTGTCCAGACTGTGACTCAGATTCAAGATTCCTTGCCCTGGCCCCTTACTGACAGCAGTGAAAAAGGGTTGTGACCTAGGGTGGTTGTGAAGATCACATAAGATAATGTATATAAAATGCTTTCTAAGACACTCAGGTGCCAAATAAATGTCAGCTATTGTTATTAATCCATCAGTTAACAAGCAGTAATTAAACACCTACTATGTGCCAAGCAGTATACTGGAGGGCTCAGAATACAATTTTTTTTTGTAGGGGCAAGACAATTGGGGTTAAGTGACTTGCCCAGGGTCACACAGCTAGTAAGTGTAAGGTGTCTGAAGATGATTTT